CCCGCCGGCGACCTCTTTAGAGGCCATATATAGGAGGTGGGGATCTCTGGGTTGACGGCCGTCGTAGTTACTAGTATAGGAAATAGTACCTATATTAGCATATATGTTTAGATCTTCGACTCTCGGGGGTATATTGGTAAAGGTATGTCCACTTATGAGATTATTATCTTCCTCTAGGCCACTCCGACAGCTGCGATGATGGTGATGCGGTTTCCGGTGAAAAGCTCGTGAGGTAGGTTTTCCTCTACCTAGACTTACAGTTTGGGTCGGAGTTTTTTATCCCCATCGTGGGTTCTTCGGCATCCACCGATTGGGGTCTGTCATGGAGGCTGGAGGCGTCAGATCCCGTTCCTTGTGACGAAGATTTGGCTGACGGCTGTTTGCCAGGGCGTTCAACGTTTCAAGAGCACATTAATTTGTTCGATGTGCTACTGTTTCCATTTGTAAACTGTGATGCATCTTGGTACATATGGGGACCGGTTTCAAGCTTCCATCTTGATAGGCAGGTATCCCAACCGGAGGCGATGAAGACGATAAGGACCTCAAAAGGACTTCAATGTAATTTATTTTTTTATACATGGGGTCCCCTTACATGGGGCTGGATGTAATATTACGTTCGCATATAAAATAAAATCCAACCTATTTTCTCAAAAAAAAAGGATGGGGCCTGTACGATATATGCTTGAACTCCTCTCGACATAATCGTACATACATCGGACCCCCCAACTACAATTCTTCTGGCCTTCTCCGAATTTCTCCCTTCGCCTAAATTGCTGCTAACAACTAGTCCTCACTTGACAATTCTGATGCAGCAAACATTCATTTGGTAGAGTAGCATCGTGTTGAAGGCCACGTCCTGCTTCAAACATACAATGGCAAGGCAAGTGGAACTGCTAGTGTCCAGTGTACCCAGCTGGCCGACGTTGGCTGCTACCCGATTCACACATCCAAGTTGCTCAGGGCAAGAATCTCCAACAGTCCATGCACTACTCGACATGAATATAATATATTACACCCATATGCCCAGCACCCATGATATGACTTGGAAGGGTAAAAAACAAAACACAAGTGGGCAAACTGCAGCTTCTTCCCCAGCTCCTTAATAAGGTCACCATTGTTAGAAAATTAGGCATTTTTATGGTCAATTTAATCCACAAATAAAACATCAGCAGGTTCGTGACGACATATATGTGCATGTGTATATCTCTAACAAACGCTACAACATGCATATATGATATACTGATCGATACAGTAAGTGCGCAAAGTATTGTAATCACAGAGATAAGAGTGTACCGAACAGAGGGTCCCATGCCAAGGACATCGGAGGCTCCATTCGCACTAGACATAGTGCGTTGCTCGAAGTCGTGGATCACAGTCGATGCAGGAAGATGTTCGCAGTGCAGTCCCACGAACAGTCACCAGGAAGAAGACAGATTCTGCGAGCGATCACCGGGAAGAAGACGTCGGACGAGCAGTCGTGGAATCGCTCCCCAAAAACCTAATCGTTGCACACCCCGTGCAAGGTTCGCAGGCGGACGAGTGTCCGTGGGCGCAGAGGTACGGGACGGGGAAAGCCAAAGGGCAGCTGAGATGTGGTTTCTCGGAAGGGGGGAGAAGACTGACGGAGGACTTTCTGTTTTATGCCTGTGGCCGGGAGGGAGAGAGCCAACGGAGGAATTCAAGAGTCGGAGACACGGAGAGATAGTAACTGGCGCAATCAACTCGCCTCTACCATCAAGGAGAGGAACTCCCATAATTATGTGGATTAAGTGGCAAAACCTGGCCACGCCCGCCCGCCCGTCCGCTCGCTCGCCGCCCGCCTGCCTGCCTGCCTCGCCACGGCCACGGCTCACACCCTCGGCCTCGGCCCATGCCCGGCCGGCGGCGGCGCGCGCACGCGTGTGGCACTCCTTTGTCCTTTTCTCAGCTTCTCAGTTAAGATGGATAATTTCCAACAAAATAAGCTGAGTAAACGTTGAGTCAAAATCCCATATGGTATTAAACTATACAACGCTTACTGTTACGTACCATAGAGTTTTATTTGATTTATTAAATATTATACGGGCCAAGCCCATAATATATCCAATAATCCCACCAAACTCTAGGGTTTGTAATAAAGTAGTCTCTGAACTATATTTCTTTTATATACCAGTGTTTTGATGAAGACTGTTAAGTTGAACATCCATCTAGAGCAATAGTTTCACTCTGTCACAACCGAACAATGTACTAAGCCTTGAATTGATAGTTTTTTGTGAGGTGAATGTCACTAAAGTCCTTAGCTGATACTAGGATACAAAAGGCATCCACTCTATTTGAAGCATATAAGTCATACTCCAGTGCCTTTCATGAGTATTTAGATATCACCAAAATCTCATAGACTGTGACTAGCGACTCATATAAGTGTGTTCCTAAAAAGATGTTCTGTAGGACAACATCTTTGCTTTAGCAAGCTACTTGGAACACATTAAGGTAAAAACCAACATGCCTTACAGAAAGTAAAGATATGCATCAGAAATGAGTCTTACTAAGGATCTTTTCTCACAATTTACTACTAGCTTGTTTCACCATCCTACTTCACGGGATCTCCGATCACATAGAACAGGTTACCACTATAGTAAATTTCATGTGGGTCTCAAACCCATCTCTCTCGATGCACTTTTTATCACATTGCGTGACGAACCCTTAGTGAATTGATCTGCCAGATTATTAGACATGTGAACATAGTCCAACGCTATTACTCCGGAGTTTTTCAATTTTCTGACAGATTTTAGTCGTCTCTTAACATGCCTTGTGGACTTCATGTTATCCTTAGAACTGTTAACCTTCGTAATCACAGTCTGGTTATCACAGTTCATAGAAATAGCTGGTATGGGTTTTTCAACAACCGGTAAATCCATAAGGAGATCACAAAGTCACTCGGCCTCAGATCCAGCGGTGTCTAATGCTGTGAGTTCTGCTTCCATTGTAGACTTCGTTAAGATAGTCTGCTTGCAAGACTTCCAGAAAACAGCACCACCTCCCAGCGAAAACACATATTCACTTGTGGCATAAAGCTCATCAAAATCAGAGATCCAGTTGACATCACAATAGCCTTCCAGCACCTTTGGATGTCCGGTATAACGAATATCATAGCTCATAGTGCCTTTTAGATAGCGCATCACTCTCTCAAGAGCACACCAGTGATCATCTCCCGGTTTTGACACAAACCGGCTCAGCTTGCACACAGCAAATGAGATGTCAGGCCTTATTGCACTAGCAAGATACTTGAGCGAACCAATGATCTGGGAATATCTCAATTGAGAGAGGAGAGAGGTTGAGGCAGTTTGAGAGATGTGAGGAAAACTGAGGATGTGGCTGATTTTCAGAGGCGATGAATGCAACTGTGGACATTTGAATCCCATTTCTGGAGGCGGACTTGTGAGGAGGGCCATCGCTGTTCATCAATTTATGATACAATCATTTATCAAACTATCTCCATAAATGTACAGGCTGCCTCTGAAGTTAACTACCTCTTTGTGAAGACTATATCTATTTTTACCCGCCTCGGTAAAAAAGGCCAGTCTCCTAATACCAAATTCATAGTAGTGTTCAAAAACAATGAAATCGGATACCAGATACACTATCAAAAGCATACCACTTCAAGCTGGGTTTCTATTTTGTATTTGAATAAAAATATGGTTTAATACTTAAAAGTTCATAATAATTTATTTTAAACACAAAACATGAAACTAATATCCATTTTTTTTTCCAAAATGTTATCTATGTGTTCGTGCTTAATTATTTGGATCGTATTAGTTCATGTCCCCAGTGTGTCAGCTTGTAACAATAACTAATATTATTTAAATTATCAGTTTTCACTCTACCTTGTTTTGATTGTAGACTAGTTAGTTACATGATGTTTGAGGCACTTCCTTGTTTAAAACATATAATTGGTAAATATGATCTATACATCTGTACATGTAGTGGGGTAATGGTATGTATCTCTCAGGTTGGTGTCATATTCCACATCTGTCTACTGCCACGTCTGCTTCTTGGTCAGTTCCCAAGTCTTGTACACTGGAAAGCAATTATTTAAATAAATAATGAGCATGACTACAAGCAATTAAACACTATAAGCACAAACAAATGAATTCTAGATACATCTAAATAGACTAGTATGTTTCATATTTTGCTAATTCAAAATTAATTGGTGATTAATCTTTCGAGAACCCAACTGTCAGTATTACTTTTCTAAAAGAGAAATCCTTTCTGAATATAGGTGATGACCAAATTTATCTGGCTTTTACAGTTGGAGAACATACCCTGTTTTGTAGTTATTAAAGCTTGAAAATCATAATACCATGCGATTTTTTTTTTGTGAATCATAATACAGACATAGACACTCAATATATAGAGGCATACTCACCTTACCTCTATGAAAACACCTCCGAAAAACTAAGATTGAACCGGCATATATCAAAATTGATGGTCACAATAGGAGCCTCGCTGTCCATGGGTACAATAACAACGGTATTAAATTCTAGAATAAGTCTAGTCAAATGCGAGCGCCGGCGTCAAGTCGATGACTTAACTAGAGTGGACAAATTCAACTAGGTAAGCTACGCTCAGTTCGCGTACTACCATGCAAGTTGATGGTGGGAAAATGGAAATTATTCTCGTGAACACAGAAGCAACAAACACTTGATGGTGCTATATATTTGTATAGAAGTGTTGCTACTTTCGTTCCATGTTCCGAAGTCACTAGATACAAGAAGGGTCGTTGCTTTCATGCGTTTTATATGGTATATGCATCTCCTCGGTGTGGTCTCCCCGGTGGTCTTAGATCACATGCAAGGTAGGGACGTAACTGGCATTCATGTGTGCACCAGCAAGTTGCCGATCGAGTTGGCATTTGCTCATCCTACTTGCAGCCCACTATATTTGGCCTACCAAGACTCCAAGGACATCCCATCTCTGAGACGACAAAGCCAACCAGATCAAGAGCAGCTAGAGGAGAAGAAATGTACGTAACAAGGCCTCTGTCAAGGTACCTGGCCGACCCCAAGGCCACGGCAGAGCCGCCGCCTGAAGGACCGGGCTCAGGGTTCCTCGTCGTGCTCGACGAGGCTACCGAGCAAGCGAGTACGCTCTGCTGTGGCCTGTGCCTAGATCCCAGGGTGCGCCGTCTCCCATTCCCGCAGAACCGGCAGCTCTCCGTGAAGCAGGGCAACAGCTCTGATCCATTGGAGGGTTTCGGGAAATGTATCGATGTTATCTCGGAGATTCTAGGTATCGCATTACAAGTTTTACGACCAGATGACCCCTCCGGCGGCGGCAGGCCTCCGGGCGCCGGCAGGTACATGGCGCCACCAGACTATGTCATGTTCGTGCCCGTCATCGGCCAGCCGCTGTCGTCCGGCCGCTACTATGTCGTCAAGGTCGACGGCAAGCACACCGGGTGAGCACATACATCTCGGCCGAGGATGATCGATGTTTCGATCTCAGTCACCATCTGACTGACATGTGACATGCATCCGTGCAGGAAGGTGTCGACGTGCTCTAAGGAGGAGGACCGGACGGAGTGCTGCTTCCGCTCATTCCCCACCGACGTGAAGCCCAGGGCCTTTGACCACGGCGACCTCTACCAGCAGATGCAGGTGCAGCAGCATCGCGAAGGCTTCAAGGCAGAGGCGGTCGCCGAGGACGGTATCCCGCCAGACTACCTTTTGAAGAAGGGCTGGACGGTGGTCGCCATGGCGAAACCGAAGTACCACGACCTCGACGATGACGCGCGAGGGGTGGACTCTGCTCTCCGAGACCGGATGCCAGACCTCGGGAGCCTCGGCGTCCCTCCTGCCGCCGTCGTCGTCGGCAGATGGTATGTCCCGTTCCTGTTCGTGAAGGCCGACGGGGAGCGCCGCCTCAAGGACCAGGTCCGAAAGAGCACGTTCTACAAGATGACGATGGAGCAGAGCTGGGAGCAGATATACAGCCGGGAGAACGCCACACATCTTCAAGGGACTGGGAGCAGCAGTACCAGGCTGGAGATCGCAGTGACTGCGACTGTGCGGCGCTTCACGGCGCTGCTGGGCGGCACCAGCCCGGTACAAGCAGGCGCGCCCCAGGCGGATGATGGGGCGCTGTGGTTCCGACCAGCGACGGCCGCGAGAACCACTGTTGAAGGTGTGGGGCTTGACATGGTGCTGTGGGAGAGGATGAGGTGGGAGGTGGAGAGGGGAGGCCGGTGGGTTGCGGCGACCGGCAATGGCGACGAGGAGAGGATCCAGCGGACAGAGAGGCGCGACGACGGCCTGGGCCACTGGAGCAAGTTTGGGTGCTATTTGCTGGTTGAGAGGTTTGTGCTCAGGAGGATGGATGGCACCGTGGCACTCACCTGTGAGTTCAGGCACACAGACAAGATTAAAGCCAAGTGGCTATGACCAAAATGTACATGAAGATGACCACTGAAGCTATCTGTTCGTCAAAATTGGAGTCAAATTTTGTGCCTATGGACTACCTCGTTTCAGGTTCATCAGTTGTGGTTTTTAGGGAGTCCGTATATATCTTGTTGTTGTCCTTTGCTTTCGGCTAGCAAGTTGGGTACTTTTGGTATAGCTTGTGCTCATGTTCGTGGTGGTGTTAATTAGTTTGCTTGTCTCTTGAGTCTCGGATCCTCTATTTAAGTTCAGTCAAAGTCCAGAAAAAGCTGCGTTTCATGGCAGCACCAAACCCTCTATGTATGTTAGTCGCAGACCCCATATGCTCCTACGTGGGCTAAAATTTAGAAAAGACACAAATGTGACATGTTTATTTGAATACGGACAGCGAATAAAAACTGGCAGAGACATCCTAAAGCTGTTGGACCTTTGGGATAGTAGAGTGCCAATGCACACTTTCCCAAAGCTTTTCTGCTTTGTGAAAGGAAAGACAACTACCCTTGCAAAAGCCAAAATTTGCGCTAATCTTCTTGACCTTTTCCATGTACCATTACACCATATAGAAGTACATTTTCAATGGACAGTATCATGCGCAATAATTAGGTGCCACATATTTTTTTCTAATATATGTCAAAAAGAATTATGTAGCAGCGTGAAGGAATTCGTAATCCTTCCGTCATGAAATACTGCGCATTCTGACTTCTAAAATTTGTACTAAAATATAATATATTCTAGACACTACTACACAAAAGATTATGAGACTTTTTCGCGTATTTTGAAATTATAAAGATCGAAATTACTTATGTGACCTTTGAAAAAATTCAGCGCGGTTTTAAAGCGCCACTACTCAACTTTTTGATCCTCCATGCCACTTCAATCAATTAGAAGATCTCTCTACTTCATAATTCATATAATTTATTTGTTAAAAAGGCAAAAAATATGATTTGATATGATTATATATATTAGAAAATTTTTTGAGCATTTTAGCGATTTAAATGAAAAAAAATTTTATATGAAAATTATAGATCTAATTCGAGATCTATAATTTTCATATAAAATTTATTTTTATTTGATTTCGCTAAAAAAAATGCTCAAAAATATAATTAATATATCTTGAAAAATCATCATATTTTTTTCGGAATTACACTGCAGCTTATAGTAGAGCCTCGAAGATCGACGGAAGTGGCATGGAGGACCCAAAAGTTGGAGTAGTAAATCAAGACCGCTTGAATTTTTCCAGGGCACACAGTGATTTCGATATTTTATAATGGCACACATGGAAAAGTCTCAAAGATTATTGTGACGTTGCATTTTTGCAATTCGTGGCGGTCACCTATTTTTCGTCATTGCATGTAAATGCCACGATTTATCATGGCGGGCATTTTTATTTACCGTGGCGGGCACTTTTGCCCGTCACGGTAAATCGATTTACCGTGGCGGGCATCCTATAATGCCCGCCACGGTAAATGGCCGAGGCCCAACAGGCCTGTGGCGAGGCCCAATAAGCGGTCTCCATATAAAATGAGCACTTTAGGAGTTCAGGGTTTCATTTCACTCACTCCTCTCCACCGATAGCAGCTGCTGATCCTCTCCTCTCTGTAGCGAGCCTCTCTCCTCCCGTCTCCTCCCGTCACCATCTCCTTCCACTGCATATCCACCACGGCGCTCTCCCTTCCTCTCTTCTCTCCCACCGATCCATCCCTCTCCCTCCTCTCTCTCTTCCGATCCTCTAGCACGGGGGCGCAGGCGTTGAGCGTGTGATGGCTCGTGGGGCGGCAACGAGCAAGCCTGCCCCGAGGCGGATCTCGCCGGTGGCGGACGCTTGTGACCGGATCCGGCCGGTGTGGCGTCCCCGAGCAGATCCGATCGGTGGCGCAAGGTGGTGGCGGATTCGGCGGGCGAGGACGGTTCGGCATGGCGGCCTCCCTCCACCACGGCGGGATCTCCACCACGGCCACGACGCCGGGATCCACCACGGCCACGACGCCGGGACCTCCACCACAGCCGAAGCGAGGACAGCGTCGGCGCGGCCTCCCTCCACCACGGCGGGATCTCCACCACGCCACGACGCCGGATCCACCAATGCCACGACTTTGGGACCTCCACCACCGCATGGCAAGGACGCGGCGGCGGCGGCCCCTCCTCCACCACGGCGGATCCGGGATCCGCAAGGAGGCACGGGATCCGCGAGGAGGCGTCGGCGTGGTCCCCTGCGAGTGACTGGCGAGGTGGTGGCGGCCCTGCAGTGGCGTCGGCGTGTCCAGCCGGCTTCTCCAGAGACACTGGGGCCCGACCGGCTGCTCCTCTTCTCCCTCCCCAAGCGGCACGGATCTACAACCGTGGGAAGCCCGGATCCATCGCTGGTGGGCTCGCCAGTGGGCTCGAGAACGGGCTCGCCGGCGGGCTCTTGGTTTTTTTTTGTTTTTTTTAATGATTAACCGCAGCGGGCATCCTAACGTGCCCGCCGTAGTAAAAGTATATTTACCGCGGCGGGCACGTTACACCGTCCGCCGCGGTAAATCGGTTAACCGCGGCGGGTAAGGCCGCCCGCCGCGGTTAAGCCACGATTTACCGTGGCCTCTAGGCCGAGGCGGAAGGCTTTGCTCGCCACGAAAAAGCGAAAACGCCCGCCTCCAGTAAAGTTTGTATAGTAGTGAGATAATGACAATGTCTAGATGTAGCTAAATTTATTAAAAATGAAATCATAATCTGAGGAGAAAATGCTTAATTGGAATAATCCATGGGTACCTGCGTTATTGGAGTGTTCTCTTAAGTTGTATTAAAAAATTTATTAGAATGCACTATATTACAGGATGGAGGGAGTATATACTACGGATTTGACGTGATATCTTCTTTGATAGCACTGAAATCTAATGTCCAGTTCAACTATCGTCATAGACATGGCATCAGCAACAATAAATTGTTACGTGAGATCATAAAAACAATAATGTGATATCTATTACGCATACGAGATGTTGTCTTTCTAGACAGGAATTTAATTATATTTCTATATATGACGTGCGGTCTTGGATCCAATCAAGTCATCTGTTTGCTCCCAACAGCCAATTAACTGCCAAAATGGTGGAATTCACCTAGTGTTTTTAAGTTGTAATAAAACACTATCACTAGTCATAGCACATGTGAATCACACACTAGGAGACATTTAGTAGAGAAAATTTATACTAAATTTTAAATATCAAAACACTAGGAGAACCCCCCTAGGAGTTAATATTGTGGTTGTGAATACTGCACGCAAATGATCTTTTGTCAGATTTCTTTGAAGTTATTAAATATTTGACTTGCATTACGATATAAAGATATTATTTATGTATCAGTAGAGTGCATATAACTTACTGGATAAGGCAAGAACAATCTAGACCTGAGTGCATACAACTGATATTCTCCTCGTGGTACCAATGAAGATAAGCAGAAGTAGGATTGGGTACTCCACAGCGGCTGCCGTTTGTATACGTCTTCCTACTCGGCCATGAGACTGACGCATGGGCCAGGGCTGGTGGGCTGGGCGGCCAGTACTGTTCTATAGACCGGCTTGGGTGCTGTGTTGTCGGCCCCGTACTACTGCTTGGTCTATGAGAGCCGGGTCTACACCGAGAAGAAAAGAGAAGGGGTGGACGCACTGTCCATGACACGTGGGACAGGAAAGTGGACGTGGCGCGGTGCTATTGGTCCTGGCGACGTGGACGGCTTATCCCTGTCTTCTCCTCACGTACGGCTCCTGTGTCCGACCGAGAAAGAGAGGAAGCAGAGGGGAGGAGCAGAGCAGAGCGACGACGGGGATGTGGTCCAGCTCCGGCGGTATGGTGGCCACGGCTAGCGTCGGCGAAGCGGCTTCCGATCGCGCGGATGCAGGCGCCGCTGTTATGTTATCAGGCAGGGGTTCTCGCTCCGGGGCTTGGCGTGGCGGTTGGCGATGCCGGAGCCAGGCGGCGGTGCCGGCGAACCGAGACAGCCCTGGCCGACTGCGTCGAGGAGAAGGGAGGCGGTGCTGAGAAGGAGCACAGAGGGAGCGAGCTCGGAAGGGGGAATGGTCGAAGCCGGAGCTCGATGGGGAAAAGGCAGCTTGCTGGCTGACTATTTATAGCCGAGCTCGTCTAACAGTAAGGCGGTGGCGGTAAGAAAAGTCTCAGTGGGCAGAGGATTTTTGCCGGCAGCCATGGCCACACGTCGACGGTTGGTGTGTGAGTGCCGCAGGTGGCAGTAGTGCATCGTCCACACGTGCACACGCGAGCTGCGAAGACGCTACTAAGAATCGGACACCGGGAAGACGACGCGAACGCTGGGCCAGCGTGGTGCATGCATGTGCGGCGGAAATATCTTGCCAGGGAGAGCTTATTTATTTACCGGCAGCCATGAGAGCTTTACTCGTGTGCTGATCGTGCTGCTCTGGTGTGCTTGCTTCCATCAGACATCAGTGGCTGGTGTCCACGCGACCACGCGGAGACCTAGCACAGGTGCACAACGAAGGGAAGGGAATTTGGGCCGGCGTACACAGGACAAGTAAGCCATGTGTGGAGGATTTAGGCATGAGGGGGGCTACGAGTTTTTTGGGAAAAGCTGTTTCGGAAATTAAAGAAATATTTCTGGTGCCGCAAATAAATTCGACAAAAGCACCCAAACACTCAAAAAATGCAGATGGTCAATTTTTAATGCAAGGTTTGTGGGAAAAAAAATTCAAAGCAGTTTTGCAGAAAATCAACTAACCAAGTTTTAATTTGTTGTGAAATTCTAAAAGTTCAAATTCTTAGTGAATTTTAGCATGAGGAAAAAATACAGGGTGTTTCAGTGGTCCTCATAGACTTCACGATCCGAACAATGGCTGCGGATGACCTAGACGAGGGCGAGCACGCTTGTGGTGCAACGGTAGTTTTTAGCGCTGTGGATGTGGCGCAACCATGACCATGTTGTCCTCGGCTCCCAGCTATTTGCCACAACTAGGGTCTCACACGCTTGCGCTCATCGATGTCGTGCCACACATTGTCGCCATACCGCTTCTTCCTAAGAAGAGGATGTGGGGAGAGTGAGAGAGAGCACGTGGAAGAGATAGAGCGGTCGGTTGTCACCAGGCATAGATCCACCAATTCGTGCCCCTCAGCTCCGTAGACCTTTACCCCAACGACGATGCTGAGGAGCGCGCCAGAGGTTGTGGTCAAGGGCGGTTAGGAGGTCGAGAGGAAAGGGGTGATATGGTCATTTGCAATGCTTTTACGTACGTGGCAACCCTGCTAACTTTGGGATGACATGTAGATCAAGTCAGCCGCTACAACTTTGGTATTAACTATCTGAAAATTCAAGGTCGTTTAGAAATTTTGAATTTTGAATTTTAATTCAAAATCATTGAACATAAAACACACCTATATATGGTTCTCTAAATGACTTCGAATCAAAAACTTATCAAATACAAAGTTATAGATTGTATTGAGAACTACAACTATGGTATAGACCATGTCAGCATCCGAGGTGGTCTAAAAATTTAAAATTTCAAAATCTATTATTTTAGAAACAATATTTTGGGCTCTAAACAGCTTCAGATGAAAAAGTTCGCAACTATAAAGTTATAGATCATGGTGAGAACTCCAAATTTAATATGAAGATTGTCTTCATCCGAGTTCATACAAGAAAATTATGAATTATTTTTGGATGCAACTATTTATAGAGATGCCCGCCTCTAAAAATTGTTTTTTAGAGATAAACGCTAAGAATGGCTGCCTCTGTTGATACTACTTTTGCGGGAACGTTGAGGCGAGGCGCCCACCTCTATTAATCAATAATTTTCAGAGGTCGTCGCCTTAGGACGTCTGCCTCTGTAAATGATTTTCAGAGGCAGACATTTCCCTGGAGGCAGCGTGACCACTTACCAAGACGGTCTCTAGATTCGTCTCCTCAAATTGTTTTTGCGGTAGTGAGGCTTGCTAATACTGTTAGTACTACATTCATCCCAAAATATACTCCCTCCATCCCAAAGTACCTGATGTTTTAGGATTGTTATAGAAATTTATGCCCAATGTAAATTATCCATGTATCCCTATTTATTGAAATTGAACCATGCTAATTAATGAATAATTAATCCATTAAGTAAAAGAAATGCATGGGGACATGCATGCTGCAACCTCAAGCTGATATGGGCCCAACCTATGGTCCACGAGGGAAAACATCAAGTTTTCTAGGACCGAGACATGAAACATCATTTTACAGTGTAATCAACATAGGCATAGAACATATAGATAGATAGATAGACATATAGATAGATAGATACTAAGTGCATCAACAGTAATTTTTTCATTAAAAAGGGTAGAATAGATATATACTAATTAATACATAAATAACATTTTTTTTGTAAAAATAGATAGATAGACAGACAAACAGACAGACAGACATATAGGTAGATAGATAGCTAGATATATACTAAATGCATCAACAGTAAAATTTTCATTACAAAAAAAGAAAAAATAGATAGATACTAATTAATACATAAATAGAAAGATTTTTTGTAAAAATAGATAGATAGATACTAATTAATCCTTACGTCTTCCAAGGACGAGGACGCGACCAAGTGCTGCTTCTGCTCCTTCCCCGCCCACGAGAAGCCTAGGGCCTTTGACCATGGCGACGTCTACCAGCAGATGCAGGTGCAGCATGACAAAGGCTTCGAGGCATCGGCTGTCGCCTCTGACGGTATCCCGCCACACTACATTATGAATAAGGGCTGGACGGTGGTCGCCATGGCGAAACCTAAGTACCCCTTGCACGACGACGCGCAAGGGGTGGACTCGATCTGCTCTCCGAGACCAGATGCCAGACCTCGACAGCCTTAGCGTCGGGTCGCCTCCTGCCGTTGCCGTCGTCGTTGGCAGATGGTATGTCCCGTTCCTGTTTGTGAAGGCCGACGGGCGGCGCCGCATCAACGACCAGGTCCGGAAGTGCATGTTCTACAAGATGACGATGGAGCAGAGCTTGGAGAAGATATACAGCCGCGAGAACACCCACCTTGATGGGACTGGGAGCAGCAGTACCAAGGCTGCGGAGATAGATGTGACTGCGACTGTGCGCCGGTTCACAGCCCTTCTGGGTGGCACGACCGTGGTACAACCAGGCTGTCCCCAGACGGACAGCGTTGCGATGTGGTTCCGACCAGCGGCAGCGGTGGCGGGGACCACCGTGGGAGGTGTGGGGCTGGACACAGTGCTGTGGGAGAGGATGAAGTGGGAGATGGAGAGGGGAGGCCGGTGGGTTGCAGCCGACGGTAATGGCGATGAGGAGAGGATCGAGCGCACAGAGAGGCGCAACGACAGCCTGGGTCACTGGACCAAATTTGGATCCTATTTGCTGGTGGAGAGGTTTGTGCTCTGGAGGATGGATGGCACCGTGGCACTCACCTGTGAATTCAGGCATACTGACAAGATTAGAGCCAAGTGGGAGTGACCAAAATGTCGTGAGGACTGAAGCTACCTATCTGTTCGTCGAAACTGGAGTTTTTTTACTAGCAAATGGACACGTGCGTTGGAATGAGTGAAAAAATTATCAAACATTCATGAAAAAGAACGATGAGAATGATACATATCTATTTATGTTTTACCATTTTCATAAAATTTAAAATTTAAAATCTATAATTTTATTTTTACGATGACCTCGTCCTTCCCGGCGCTGCCCCACTCACGTCCCCGCCGCCGATCCACGCCGCGCATGGCGAGACTGACACGCCGCTTGCTAGCTTGCTCCTGGACCCGCGCCTCCCGCCACGGCTATGCTCCATGGCCTGCCCCTACCCCTGTTGAGATCCGTGAAGCCGACGAGATCCACAACGGCGACCTCCGCATCACTCCGCGGCTTCGAGCTTTGTGCCGGCGTCGAGCTCCGCGTCGATGAGCCTCCATTCGTCCAAGCAGCAGATAGATGCTACACTAAAAGCGCATGTTGCAATAGTATGTTTCAAGTGTTTCATTTGTTTATGAGGTATGTTGCAAGTGTTGTATATCGATGTTGCAAAAGTAGATCGGGATGTTGCACATGTTGTAATGGCTATACACGTATGTTTCAAGTGTATATTCCAAATGTTTCATCTGTTCTAGACGAATGTTGCAAGTGTTTTGTCTGAATGTTGCAAATGTTTCATCTGTTCTAGACGAATGTTGCAAAAGTAGATCTATATGCATGTTGCAGGCATATGTTTCAAGTGTTTTCAGGTGTTTCGTTTGTATGTTTGCAGGTGTGTTTCATCTGGATGTTGCATATGTTTGTCATGGTTTTCAAATGTTTTTCAGTCGTTTTCGCAAGTGTCGCTTGTTTCAAGTGTTTCATCTGCCATCTTTTGTATGTTGCAACTGTTGCATCTGAATGTTTCAAAAATAGATTCGGTGTTGCACATGGGTTGCGCGTGGGAAGCGGCCGACGGTGCGGATAACGTCCGGGGTGGCGTCGACGATGGGGGACCACAACTGGTGCGCTCCCTCGCGGTCCTGACGTGCTAGGTGCGTGTTCACTCCCAATGCGGGAAACATCCGGACGCTAGCGCCCAGATCGAACATCCGAACACTAGCAAATCTAAAAAAAAAGATGCAAAAAGAAAACAAAAATAGGAATCGAACGTGAAACGTGGAGAAAAGGAAAAAGTAAAGACGAAAAAAGATGGAAACCGGATGTGAAAGAAAACAGAAACCATACGTGTAAAAAACATAGGAAAGAAAAAAAAAGGGTCGGATGGATGGAAAACGAACGTGGAAAAAATGTGACAGGTGTTTTATGTTTGGATCCAGGGAAAATAAAATTATAACTCGGTGAAAAAAAGTCAAAAACCTCTTCGTGGTTTAATATTTAGATAAGAAATAAGATTAGATAAGATCCATCTAATTTCTAATTTTATTGTTTTCTATTTGGATTTGGATTAGGACCCCTATTCAACTTACTCACGATCGGAGGTATCTATTTGATAGAGTTTTAGCGATCCAAGTTACCTCTAAAACTGACTCTGTGAACAGCACGAGCCAATTCCTTGGATTTAAAGGAGAGAGTCTCGCTGAACAAAATCTGGTCCAGTTCTATCAACATCATTTCGAGTGTCCATCTGAGGAACCCACAGATCTGAAGAACTACAGCACTAGGCAGTCCAGGGGCTGCTAGCTTAAACAAAAGATACACTACACCCGTAACATCGCACAGGCCGCATCTCGTGGGCGGAAATTCAATCTTTTACATGTTATCTCGCAATTATCTCCTTTTTCGCGAACCACGGATTGCCACACGTAAGGATGAAATAGAAAAGAAACTAAAGGGGGCAGGAAAGCCGACCAAAGTGAAAAAAGAAAGAATGAACAGCATCGAGGGAGAAACCACAACCCCAAACACTACTAGTCAAAAACCTACGAGAAGAAACATGAATGCAAAGGCTCCCTAGAGAGCGGACCAAGCCACGATGACAAAGCATCCACCAAGAGAAGACGAAGAACTAGCAACATTGGCGGCGAAGCATCCGCCTGAGAGTATTTGCAAAGAGAGAGGACCGTACACAATTGGCAGCAAAGTATCTGCCTGAGAGGGGACATAGGACAGCGACGGCGGCAAAGTATCCACAAGGTGAACCAGCTACAACAGCGGCCAAGCATTTGTCCGAGAGGATAAGAGCAACCTTGGCGGCAAAGATCTGCAAGGTGATAGGCAACAAAGTATCTACTAGAGCTGGGGTTCCAAAACAGCGACGGCGACAAACAATCCGCAAAGCAAGAGGCCTGTACCATGCAATTAAAGCCGTGGGCTCAAATTTCAAAGCAAATTAATTTTTTTTAGGGGATTCAAAGCAAATTAATGTGGCACGTAGGATTTGATATGGACATTTCTTTGGCAAGCTATGGAGTCCATCATTTGAGATTCGACCAATGCGGGTAGAGTCCATCAGTCTTTTGTTGAAGTAGAATCCTCGGAATGATATTTTTTTTTTAAATGCTCACAAATTTTTTTTTGCAGCTTTTAGTTAGGAGGATATATATATTGGCTGCAAATCATGGCACTATTGCAACAAATTTCTGGAAACAAGAAGCTTATGATTTATGCGTGCCACACCTTGAAGTTATTGACCTTGCCGATAATGGCCACTCCTGAACAGCGATTCATTAGATGAATTGGACAATAATTAGAAACTCTTGCTTACATGTGTTTTTAGCTAGCCACATGGGCGTGGATCGGAGTAGGTGGTAATTTGGCTACATATCTGTAGTAATATTTTTCTAGTTCTCTTTGTAGTAGGATTGAAGCAGGCCCGAACTTCTTTGCCACAACAACAACCAGAACAACAACAACAAAGCCTTTAAATCTCAAACAAATTGGGGTAGACTAAAGTTGAAACCCAGCAGAAGCAATCAAGGTTCAGGCACGTGAATAGCTGTTTTCCAAGCACTCCTATCTAAGGCTAAGTTTTTGGATATATTCCATCCTTTCAAGTCTCCTTTTATTGTCTCTACCCAAGTTAACTTCGGTCTTCCTCTGCCTCTCTTCACGTTACTATCCTGGCTTAGGATTCCACTATGCACCGGTGTCTCTGGAGGTCTCCGTTGGACATATCCAAACCATCTCAATCGGTGTTGGACAAGCTTTTCTTCAATTGTCCCGAACTTCTCTGCCATTATATAAAATTATCCTCTTCTTTTTTCCGTAGTATATACATATATTCACATAGACAAAACACTCACCTACACTACGCAGACGATAATACGTGTTTCTCAGGATTTGAGCTCAAGACCTCTACAGTTTTGTTTCCGAGCGCACATGCCAGCTGAGCAACACGAAAAATGTAAACATATAGTTGATGCTATTCTTGTAACTACATGTTCGAATCTTATATTGTATATTGGACACTAAAAACAATCTCAAATGAAAAGGTTATTAACTGCAAAGCTGTAGATCTAGTGGAGTACTAGAATTTTGATGTTGACTTTGTCTCCATTCAACATTGTTAATCATGTCAAATCTAATCTGAGAACTTATATTGGGACTTATGAACCATCTCAAATTAAAAAGTTGTCAACTACAAGGTTTGAAACGTCTTTAAACTTAACAATTTTGATTTAAAGTTTATCCTAACCGGATCTTATATGAAAAAGATATAAATTTTTTATTCAAAATAGATATCACTAGTAGTTCATGCCACAACCTGACCTATCACTGTCAATTCGTTGGTTCAACCGATAGTGATAGACAACCTATCACTACTTGTTAAAGCCACACATATCACTGTTGGTTCTGAAGCAACTGGCAATGCTAGTGTGGCACTGATTATCATTTTTGGCGTATTGTTACAGGAACGAGCACACACAGACCCAACACATATAAGCACCTCCCAGAGACCGATGAGTCGCAAATCTTGAGATTGAGAAAGTCATCGCATACATCTAGGAGTTGTGGTTGCCCACATTGTCTACTACTAATTCAATAATGATACTTCTTGGTGCTATAAATCACAAAACATGAACATCCATCGAAACTGAAATTCCATCAGAAAATCTCCTGCCAAATGCTTTGTGAGGTCAGCTAACATGAAAAACCAGGTGAATTGCAGTGGAGTAAGGTAATAGCATCTTTTGGGCTACTCTGTCCAGTCTTTTTGGAGTTCCATTTGAGCTTCTTCTAAATGTATTGTTTTATTTAACAGTTACAGCGACTAAATTAGAAACATTTCCTGGCCCTAATATATCATTATGCAGAAGTATAAACAGATGGATGCCAATACAAAGCTTTCAAGGGTGTTATTTTCAGAGGAGTGTCATATGAGCTGTAGCGATTATTGAGCAAGTGGTAACTAGGAATGGAATATTACATAGAATCTTTAAAACACATGCACCTCTAGTAGTTTTACAAACATTTACTTAAATGTTTGGACTGCCCATCTTTGCTTCTTCTCAGCTGAACATTCAGAGCTTTAACTGTATCTTGACATAGTTCGCCACTGACTTTTCCATCTCAATCAGTAATAATGCAAGAAGGATGACCATGAAGCATCAAGATATTACTGATGAAAGCTTGAGCAACATCATGACAATGAACGGGACTAGAAATAATGTTCAATAAAAACCTGCATTCTTTGTAAATGTATCCACCAGACCACCACAATCTGGATAACACCTTTGTCTCTTATTATCTGGGTAGTCCTTCAAACAAAATCCATGGTCATGTTGGAGAAGCCAATGTCAGGAATGGCAACGGCTCTTGAAATCGAGGAATGTTCACATGCTTGATGAACTTTAGATTTTCAACATATATACTGCTCGATAGTAGTAACACTTCAAAAATTAGCCCAAAACACCACTACACCCAGAGGAAAACGAGACCCAAGTTATGTATGAAACCTGGGAGGAGAATAATGTCAGTTGACGTGTGGCTACGGCTAGCTGTGATGTGATTTGTAATGAGTGAGGAGAACAAAAGTTGATGGATGT